GGGGTGGGCGAGTGGCTCCGGTTTGGTCCAGGTGTGTCCAGGTGTGTCCCAGGTGTGTCAGGTGTGTCCAGGTGTGATCCAGATGTGTCTGGATGTGCCCAGGTGTGTCCTGGGTGTGTCCCAGGTGTCCCCAGGTGTGCCCAGGTGTGTCCCAGGTGTGTCCCAGGTGTGCCCAGGTGTGTCCCAGGTGTGTCCCAGGTGTGCCCAGGTGTGTCCAGGTGTGTCCCAGGTGTCCCCAGGTGTGTCCAGGTGTGTTTGATCATCCCCCAGGTGTGTCCAGGTCTGTCCCAGGTGTGTCCCAGGTGTGTCACAGGTGTGCCCAGGTGTGTCCCAGGTGTGTCCCAGGTGTGTCCCAGGTGTGCCCAGGTGTGTCCCAGGTGTGTCCCAGGTGTGTCCCCAGGTGTGCTCAGGTGTCCCCAGGTGTGTCCCAGGTGTGTCCAGGTGTGCTTTGAGTGTGTCCAGGTGTCCCCAGGTGTGTCTGGGTGTGTCCAAGGTGTGTCCAGATGTGTCTGGGTGTGCCCCAGGTGTTTCCCAGGTGTGTCCCAGGTGTGTCCCAGGTGTGTCCAGATGTGTCTGGGTGTGCCCCAGGTGTGTCCAGGTGTGTCTGGGTGTGTCCCAGGTGTTTCCCAGGTGTGTCCAGGTGTGTCCAGGTGTGTCCCAGGTGTGCCCAGGTGTGTCCAGGTGTATCTGGGTGTGCCCAGGTGTGCCCCGGGCGTGTCCCACCCCTCCCCCTCCCCAGGTGTGCTGCCGGAAGTTGAGGATTATTTCGGGATCGGCGACAGCAGCTCCGGCCTCCTGCAGACAGGTGAGGCCACGCCCCCTTCCGGCCACGCCCACTTCCGGCCACGCCCACTGTTCCTTGGGGGTTGGGGCGGTTTTTTGGGATTTTTTTGGCGGGAATTTTCGGGGACTGGGGGGAGGGGGGGGGTGTTTGCTCACCTGTCCCAGGTGTCCCCTCCCCCCCCTCACCTGTGTCACGTCACCTGTGTGACCTCATCTGTGTGAC